TGGTATGGTGCTGCAGTGATTAGCACTCTTGTCTTACACTTCTGGGTCCAGGGTTCAAGTCTCCAGCATGGCTCCATGTGTGTGGAGTTTGCATGTTCTCCCCATGTTGTAGTGGGTTCCTCTGGGTACTCTAGTTTCCCAACACAATCCAAAACCATGCTGAGGATAACTGGAGTTCCCAAGTTGCCTGTAGGTGTGAGTGGTGTGTAACTGTGCCCTCTGATGGGTTGTTGCTCCTTCTCCTGCATCATGGTCCATCGTCAGTGACAATTTGCTCAGGCAGGTCAAAGCTGCAAAACATCTCCCTCAATGTCTAGAGTCTCCCTTTATATCATCCAGCACCACTGGTGTTGCCCATCAGCTGTGTTGTACCAGTACAATAACCCCAATCTCAACCAGTCTCTATACATCTGAGTCAATTTTAGGCTTCAGTGCATAGGGGACCTTCCTGGCCTTCATGAAGCATGGCATGGTGCCAGGCCAACAATCCCTACTCACTCAGGGAGACTCTACACACACCACACCCCAGGATCGCCTGTGATTCGTTCTGTGCAGCCACGCCTCTTCCCAGCTGTTGCATGTGCTGCTGATTGCTCCCATTATTTATGTTCTGGAAGCATGTAGGATTATTGCGAGATCTTCTCAGTTTTCTGAGAGTTCGAGCATTTGTTCCCCTTGTACACTTCCGACTTTTGATTGTTGCTTCAGTTTCTTGATAACGAGTTTGTCTTGCCTCCTTTTTGATCGGCTGTTTGCTAATTGCCTGACCCTTGCCTGTTTTCACCGAAGGATACTGTTCCGTCTTTTCTGGTTTTTGATCTGGACTGTCGAATACAATCATCGCCAGCTACTATAAACCTCTGCTTCCTGAATTTGATCCGCATTTGCATTCTCTATTCATGCACCGTAACACATTTACCTATATTTAGGGTACAACTGGCAAACCCTTGAGGGGTTATAGAGAATACAGACAGAACTTCTGTTTAAATCCTGAAAGACAATGGGATTTACAAAAGGTTTTTTTTTTTTTTGCTCATAGCATGTCTGTGCCTGTATGTCTTCAGGGAGTCTGAGTGTTACTAACAGTGTTTGTTTAAATGCACATTTACCTTTGATCTGTAGGAAAAGGTTCCTCTCTGAATGAGGTTGGTACCGACATTGACCTGTGACTCTTCATGGAAACACAGCTGGGTACAGGTGAGCCTGGTCTCTCCATCAGGACACTGTGGACAGTGAGAGGAAAGATCCTCATTACATAAATATAATCCATACAATGAGGGAAATAATTATTTGACCCCCCATTGAATTCCTAAGTTCACCCATTTATAAAGAAATGAGAAGTCTATAATTTCAATGGTATGTTTGTTTCAATATCAGAAGATAGATTTTCAACAAAACAAACAAGAAAAAATCATTATGCAACAGGTACAAATCATTTTGTCATTTACAGTATCTAGGGAATTATTTGATCCCCTATAAGTCAGCAAGAAGTTAACACATTAACACAACACAAGTAGTACTTAATTAAGTATTAACAGATACCAAGCCAGCATTCACATTTAATGGCATTACTTTTTAAAAAGAGTATTCTTTGGTCACTAACCTTTCTAGATCTTCAATCTTATCACCATGAGAGACACCAGAGAGCAAGATTCCAGACAAAGTCCCGGTTCCTGAAATACGTCCCAGTTCCGGAAAGATGATCCTGTGGTGGGAAAGTTCATAAAATGTAGAGATATATGATATATCGGTTCATGGGTCGATTACGGCTTGGCCCACTGAGTCTGGGCACAGGGGCCCCAGGGCCTTAGG